GAAATCGGGCATAAGATAACTCTACACGCCCTAAACTCTGCAAATCCTAACTTCACAAACTTTACACCTTAGTCAAATAAGTATGTGACTTATTGGCTTTACATCAGCTGATCTGATTTGACGGTGCGAGTCTTATGGTCTCTTCTTGGCAACATTTAACATGGAAATGTTTTTGGTGGGTTATTCTTTTAGCTTCCCAAGAGTTAAGGCAATGTAATTTAACTGGTCTCAAGCAATACGCTACTCTTTAATTTAGAGTTCCGTCGGATTAATTACATAAATGCACAATGCACATATCATGTTTCTCTAATTAAAGAACAATGACTTTAGTTAACGTTCAGTTAATTGATTTGAATGATTTTCACCCCGTCTAAAGATTATCAATTCAACGAGGGTTTTGGCATTAAATACAAATATCTATTTATGTTCGATTGACGTAATGGCCGCTTATTATACATACTAAGATGGGTATTATTGTCCGCTGGGACGGCGGACGACGGCTTAGATACAATTGGCCGTTTCCGCTACCGTCGGTTCAATTTGCTCTATCTTCCCGTGGTCTGTGGTGCACTATACACTAGAGTGCAAGTAGAGACCTCTTATTTATTAGATACACATTCATTAACATCCAGGACTAGTGTAGGACTCCGGCAAAATAATAGATTAGTTGTTCTAATAATAACCTACTTTAGTAGAGCTTTAAAGTTACAAATACTGTTTTTCCTAAAATCATTAAAACTATAAAGCTTCGTTTTACTTACCTACTCTTCATTTGCCCTACAAAAACATTCGCTATTCAGCTTCACCTCACTTACTTTGCTCTTAAACTTAACACAGATCCTTTATTAATACATCATGTAAGGGATTAAAATAAAATAATAAGGCGTACATGACTAACGAGGGATTTTAATCAACGTGCGGTGAGCGTGCCCGCGAAAATAAACCAAATGCATTCCGGGAATATCGCACGGGTTTTGACCTGCAACTCCTTTTTATGCCTTACTTTTTATTACAACCTTTTTACACATAATAAAACTAAATGAACTTCAACTGGGACGCTCTTGTCCTGCATCTTGCTTGATGGAGTGATGATCAACCCAAAGTAATTTTTTAAAACCTAAGAGTTACCTAATGAGTAATCACTTCACTGTTCATGACTAAATACTTTCTCATCGTTTCTGGAGCTTATCTATTATTCTTTAATGTGTTTAATATGATATAAGCTTGTTAATAGAAAAAATAATTGCCTCGAACCGCTAGTCGATTACAATTAACGATTTGATTAAAGTCCGTTATAAAAATAACATGTAGGTAGAGCCTATAGTATTAATCTCTAGCTTTATAAGTACAGGCTTATTTGTACCTCATTATCGGTCGTAATCATTTATAAATATTCAACCAGGACGTAGAGTAGAGGCAGTCCTTGGAATCATGGTTTATTTATATTCATAAAACAATATAATTGACAAGTCCGGCAGTCGGCGTTGGCGCCGCTCTGAAAAGCGCTTTTTATATTTCCCACCAGTTGACGTGTCCACAAATTGAATAATTTATTTGATTTTCAGTATCTTTCAGTCTAAAGTAAAGTAAAGTAAAGCAGTCTAAAATATTTATAATTCAAACACAATTAAAAAACTTTACTTAAAGTGTGGCAAGTTGTAAGTTTACTTTAGTTTACTTGTGACTTTCCACAAGTTTAGTTTTTCTCAAAACATGACATGTATTCAAAACATAGGTACCTACTTAGCTATGTAAATCTGATTGTAATATGGACAAAAGTAGACCAAAGATTTATTGCATTGGTTATTATTAGTTCTGCACTGACCAAGCACTGTCTCAAGCAATGCCTTTGTCAATGTGTAAGCACAAAAGTGAGCTTTGTTTAGAGACGCGTGTAAACACAGTCGCCCGACATCTGGCGTATTTTTTTTACTTCCACTAACGGGGGACCGATCTGCGGATCATTCGACTTGGTTCTGATTTTGAAGAAATATTTTTGAACTGTATGAAAAACTTCATGCACAAGAATACTGAAAGATATAGCAGGAAATCGACGAGGAAAAGCGAATTAGCATAATTCCCTGTAGATACCTACGCAGTCAAGGAAAATTCATCTAAATTTTGATTCGTAAGTTTCGTTACAAAAAAAAAATAGAAATCTTTACTTACTCTAAAAATGTATTAACTTCTCCATATTAACAGATAAAACTACTCGCATAAATGAAAAGTAAAATTCATTGAGGTATCAAACTGAAAATTAAAATCACGGACCTTGCTACCTTCAAACTTGCAAAACCCCTAGTTTTGCAACCCATCCCAAACTGCAAAACTCCAAGTCAAAAGAAAAATTGCGATGGCTTATTTATTGCCTTTAAGGCGGAACAGAGTTCGCCGGGTCAGCTAGTAATTAATAAACTTAAATGAGAAAAATTCAATAAAAACAAAGAAAAGATACCAATTGAAAAAATTATGAAATTATTTGTTTTTACCCGCTATAAACACCTACGGGTGGAATGAAATAAGTTTTTATTGGGTTTTTACCCCCATGTGGGTTTTTACCCGGGCGGAAACCCATCTCTACCTATCGCTGATTTTATCTAATTTTAGTTTCATGCCCTTATTTAGTTCTTTGATATTAATAACTAAATACAACCGACAAGGAAGTAGCAGTGAGAGTCAAATAGGGAAACTTTATTTCATTTATACAGCATACGGCAGCGACCAACTCGCTCGTTTTTCACTCAAAGTACCTTACAATTTACGAAAACAGTGTGTTTTTTAAATGTTCTGTGACTAAACCGTGAGCGACCGTCTCAAGAATACCACCCACGTCACGCTCCTCATTTTTCGACCGAACTGAGAAGTGGAGATTGAAAATGCAATAATGTCGTCATGCGCGATTGCAAGCCGACTTTAATAACTTTGTAAGACGATAGCTCATTCGCTCCGTGACTGAAAATCTGTTGGTGTGTAGCTTTAACCCTAAATAACCAGATAAATCAATAACTATTTCAGTTAGTTACAGTATTCTAAATTCCCCGTCTCATGGTTAGTCACCCCAAGTTATAGAATCGCTGCTTTGTTTACAGACTAAAAGCGCTCGAAATTTCAAGAGTACCACCCTTTCTGGGCGAAACTCTACCAGCCGCGAATATAAATGAACGTCAGCAAACATCAACAATGTACGGCGTTTATTTACAAACATAACGCCTAGTGAGCTACCGAAACGGATGTAGAGCGGTATATACAGAACGCAGACTCCGCGTCCAGCTAGAATCGTATTGCTTTCGGAATAGGGGTTATATTTGTGTAGTTTGGAAAAGATTTGGAGAGTACCAGTAACGTTTCCTGGCGCGCGTGCTATGAAAGCTCTGCTTCCTCGTGAAAGCCCGCACGTGTGCGCCGCCGCTCCACGCACCTGCGCCCGCGCTTCCCTGAGAGTCGGAGCGCCGCGCAGAGCCCGTCGCGCACTCGACGGGATGTGTCGTGTTTAGTGTGTATTTGGTGATCTACAAATATGGGACCCCAATTTGACTATTGCCTCCGTGCCACAAGTAAGACACACTTCAGATTATAATATTCAATACAGTTATCAATATCGATGTATACGCGAGCTTATTATGAAAGTTCCGTGGCCGCCCGCCCGCCTTATCTTGTTTAGGGGCAGCTGAAACTTTTGTAATTTTGTTTGGTTCATTAACTTCGTTGAGTTGTCGGAATTTCTGATAATTTTAATCAAATCGCCGAGTTTTGATCAAAGTTTAATTTTTTCAGCAACAACTCGCCTCTCTTTGTGGGTAGCTTAATTTTATTCGTCGATTGATTAGACTTGAGCACCTATTTTAGGAGGTTGGATGTTTTTAAAAATTTAATTTGTCATGATTTCGTTTTTTGAGCGTTGAGAGAGTTAATAAAATTCAGCAGTCATTAGATTTTGTTAAAATAGACTCCATCATGATAAATTTTTATTGTTGCGTTTGTTGCAATGGTTACTGGTTAGAGCATGCCTATTAAAATACATCTTAACTTATCTATTCTGTGTCTACTGTGTGAGCATGTAATAATATGCAATATGATATTCAAGGAGTGTTTCTGCATAGTTGATGTCTCGGATGCTAATATTATAGATGGTTAGGTAGATACGCAGCTCGAAGTCATGTTTATACTTACAAATTAATTAATTAATTCTAATATAAAAAATATCAATATGCAATAAAATAATTGACAACTAAAACTTACACTGTGTTTCACAATTTATGAACTTAGGCTGAGTTGCACCACCAAACTTTAACTGTAACTATAACGATGACCGGTATATTTTGTATGGAGTTTGACAGATTTTTGACGTATGTAAGATGGTGCAATTCAGCCTTAGTATTTTTGATAGATACCTACACAAGAATGCACACAATTAGTGAGATGCATACATAATTAAGCTTTATCGTACATAAACTTTGCACAACTACTGAACTAACATACATTAAAAGTTAATTACATTTATAATCAAAACATCATGTATATCTAGCTCTACCGAAAATATGTTCAATCTTATTTAACTTTCCAAGAATTTTCGTCTGAATCATTTAAGACAACGGATGCTTAAATTGTTCATACTAGGTTTAAAACAGATGTCGGCTCGTTCTCATAACTACACTAGCGTAACTGATTATATTATTAGAATCGAAAGACGTGTACTTATTATTATCTTAATCTCTTTCTCAAAATCAAATATAAATCTGCTCATAAAAACATAACATTAAACTGTCGTGTATCGTGCGCGTGCGTACTTACGATCGATTAATTACTGTCAAATACATCAACAAGTATACTTAATGTGGTATTAAATGTTCTGTATAGTCTTCCTTCATTGTTCGAGGCAGTTTTTGTGTTCGACACATGTTCCCAGGGCCGCAGCTTTTATTCCGCCCTCGACCCTAAAATGGATACTTTGCACATGCGGGCCCAGAAATTTCTAAAAAAAATGTTAATAGTATTTTTTCTCAATGAAAGGACTCTTCTTCATTATGCTTGCATTACTTGAATTGACCGCGCATTTGATTATGAGAACTTTATTCATAAAACACCCTCGTTTTCGCCACAGATAATTTATTAAGCATTTCCGTTTCATAAAGTTGTGTTGTGCCTACTTAAACATACGACTGCATCCCTTTGTCTTCGAGACCTAGAACTTTAAATGCAGGAATGTAACTTTATAAAGCCTTCTACTTACGAATTGAAGTTGTTTATGTTAAGTCATGCAATTAAATGCGAATTCTCGACACGTGTTTAAGTACCCACATTCCTTTAGATCACAGTGCGATTGGGGACATCGCACGTCGTTTGTTTTACTAGTAGCCCGCCTACCATCCGTCCGTATCTCAGGCAGTGGTCTAGGCAGGGCGGGCTAGAAGATTGCCTTCAATTCGTATTTTCCGGCTTTCAAAAGTAGGTTGCTCCACTCGGCCCGCACTGGACGTAATGGAGAGCCGTTAGTTCATTGGCGTTATTGAATAATTCCCGCAAGGCACAGTCGCCGCGCGGTGCCCACTGTGCGACGCCGCCCTGCAGCCATGCTTCTTGGTAACGATCATTTATCTTGCGAGTCCGCACCGGTAGTTCGCATCCATTAATCTTATTTATAGTCTGGTTTTCTACAGATTGGTTTTTGTTTCAGATAATCCTTCTTACTTCGCGTTGCCGGACAAAAATGTCACGGACGGCGAAGCGTCGCCTGCGTCCAGTTCGGAGCCCTACTCGAGGTCAGCTCCGAGCCGCGTTTGGCCGGATTCCATACGTCCTTTGGGATCTCCACGGAGGAGAGAACCCGAGAGCCCGAGGAGAAAGGAGTTCCGAGCTCTACTGAGGTCCCTATCGGCTAGGGAGCCGGAACAAGCCGAAGCATTCTTGAAGGGACAACCGAGGCCTGGGGACTGTGCTCCTAGAGATATGAGACACACTTTTACTGCTCCGCGAATCAAGTAAGTATCTGATTATTAATTAAAATATCATTAATTTTGATTGCTTGATGCACGTAAATTGTATAACTAATAAGAGTATGTAATGACCAGGTAATATAGCTCTTATGTTATTCGCAGGAAGGGCAAAATTAGCGCAACGGTGGTCACATCAGACGGCCCTCAAGAACGTGAGGAGGTGTTCTATACGATACCTCTTCAAGGTCGAAGGAGGCACTCGGTCGGAGGGTACCTCGCAACAGGCGGCGCAGGTGCTGGTGAGGTCACCACGGTGCCCAGCGAGGTGCCAAAGATGCCAGCTCCGAGGTTCACACAACAACGCGAAGATGAAGTCAAGAGAAGACGACCAAAGAACTTTTCTTTTAAAGGTAAGTGTTTATATTCACTTATCAAAATTTTTTATTGTATTATAGGGTCAGTATTTAGAGTTATAGTGTGGTTTGTTTTGATTGTGATAATGATTTAGCAATGATATGATTTACAACTGAAGTTATCGTAAAGGAAACTACGACACTAAAATCTATTATTAGGTAATAATATAGATGTGGAAGTGAACAATAAGATAAACGACCATAAACAACTCAATTGAGACGTTGGGAGATATAAGAGCGTTGCACTGATCACTCTTTGACCTCCGATATCTGATACAGATGCACCAAAATGTGAACGCAATGCGGCGCTTTTGATTTCAGCCCAACTAATTTGACATTTCCAAGAACACTTAACTACTATGTTACATAAAATACGAATGCTTATTGTTATCTTGTTGCGAGAACTTTTCGACGTCTTATCAAAATTCATTCAAGATTACCGACTCACTATCTAGCGAAGCTTTTGCATCAAAGAGAGTATTAAGTTTTTATATCAGTGGGTACCACCAAAGTTAACAGATCTCCAGCTTATCAGATTTCGAAAACCGTATTGTTGCCGATTAGTATCTCGCCTGGCTACAGGACAGGGTCAGAATACAATCGGACGTGTTTAGTGTTTACAGCTTTATATTTGGCGTTCGATAACGCCTCAAGAATATTTACACGAGGGCCCAAATGTGTTTGCGGAGATTAGGCGTCGGGGATGGCGATGTGTTGCGATTATCGTTGTCGCGACGGTATTTTAGTATGCGAGGTGCGTGCGTTCGCGCCGCCCGACCGACGCGAGTAGTCCTGCGCGCCGGCGCTGCCTGTTCGGACCCCGCCACAGCTCTCAGGGCGCTCGCTACATTTAGTACGCTTTCTAGTGCTCGCCTCCTTTCAGTGCAATGTTGGACGGCTGAATTCGCGAGTGATAACTTGACTTTCATAATTTCGCGATGGAGAACAAAGGACAAGAAACCACCGATATGAGTGAGTTTAATTGTATATCTGATGAAGATTCTATCGTGCAATTTTTTAATTACTAATTTAATTTATTGCAAAGTTTCATTAATCATTTCTCAATATTCCGTTACTAATTTAACTTTGACAATATAGGGTAATAACAAAGTTGTTTTCATTATACTCGTAATTCTTATCGAAAATATTTTAAAACTTTACCATATTTGAGGAAAGGCGAAGGTTATCTTGGTAGCCCTTTGTTTTTTTACTAATGACACTATCGATAATCGTTACATTACTGTTTGGATTTAACGGTGTATTTATAATTATTGGGTCATTAACTTAAGTTGGAAATAACGCCCGCTATCTCTATAAAATGTAATGAGTAACTCCTCAACACATGTAATTAGGAGGCATTGTTCTTCTACAAGTGTCCTTCGCTATGTCGAGTCCAGCATCGAGGACCAACGTCACACTTTGTAATTCGAAGATGTCCAAACCCGTCCAAAATCAATGTCAAAGAGACACCGTAGGTACTTCATTACCAAATTATTTTTACCGTTTACATATTGGTGATCAGAGGACCTTCCTTCTTATGCTTCAAGAAGCAGGGTTGAAAGCCCAAAAGTTTGGATACGTTCACATTGTATGCGCAGCGCGCATTATTTATGCAGGGCGACGCGTATGGCTGAATAAACATAGCTCAATTTACATGCATCGAAGTGACTCCCGTAATGTACTCGCATCGAGAATATAAATGTGTAAACGCCTAGTGTTCTTGTGTTCTCTGAGCAAAATCGCTCCCACAGATCGGGTATTTAGCTAGCACATTTACATTGTCACAATGGTGAAGTTTATGGCATCCGCGCCACACACACAACTTTGTGAAATTTCTGGAATGGACTTCTACTATGAGATTAGTTAGCCCTTGTTGGCTTCCGAAAGTTTCACTTAGTACATTAACGTTCAGGAAGCGTCCATTTAGAAATTTGCACAAAGCCGGAAGGTCTACTTAATGGAAGTAGTATAACCGTTTATGTGCGCTTGTTCTTTATTAAGCCCGAGCTGAAGTGATAATGCGCACGATTACTATTTGCCTTACTCGTAAGCTGAACAACAAAAAAGAAAACATAACACGCTATAATGGAAATACCTCACTTTGCCCTCTTTAACAAAGGCGCCTTCCGTGGAGACATTATTATTTCTTTAAATGAAATAATTAATTTAAATGTAAATTATGTGTTTCTTATCGCGTCGTTAGCGCGCACAGGAGCTTTATGTCGAGTTGTTATGTTAATATGGTTGGAAATTGAATGGTAGAACTGTCGATGTTCTAAGTCGGTGGTTCTATTGTCAAAGTTAACGAGCAGTTGTCGCGATATCAGATAAGTGTTGAATTACAACTTTGTTTGTTGACTATCGGAATGTTATCGCCGAGACGCCGAGGGCCGGCGACAGAGGGCTGACCGCAATCAAGGCTAATTTTGTGAAAATTTGCCAAAAGCTGCGGCATAAGTTATGTTTCAGAGGGGTCTTTATAATCAAAAGCTCTAGCCAAAAGTTGTGTAACGCAAGTTACGTTACCTATAAATAGGAGCTAACTACAGAGTTTCGTAGCGTTCGTAGCAACCCGTAGACTGCACAATGCACTTATATTGTTTTTTAATTAGGTAAGAAGGTTGCCTCCTTTTTATTTAACCCTTAACCACTGACGTACGTACGTGGTACGTCGGTCAAACGGGTTTTCGTTCAAAACTTCATTTTGTGCAGGAATTTTTGCGTGTCCTTTTTGGTAGTTTCCTAGTAGCCAGAGATGCGTGTGCGAAGGGAGAAAATAAATGGATAGCATGTTCCTAAGTAGGAGAACTAGACCACCCGACGTATGTGGTACGTAACGTCAGTGTTAGTGTAACTTTTTTTAAATCGTTTATGTATGGTGGTCCAGAGATAAAATTAATCGTTAGCAGTCTTATTTATTTTCTTGATCGTCTATATGTAAAAAACCTCATTTGCGCACAAAAATATTGCAAATGACGAAGAAATTAGCAAAAAATCCAGGGGATGTAAATTTTTATATCGGTTGCGTCTTTCGAGGACAATCATCATGATGTTGAAAGAATTTCAGTTCGTGGCTTTGGATTGACTTCTTCTGAAGATTGTATACCATATTTTCATATTTCCTCACTAGTTTGAAGCACGGCAAACTGGTGACCAGGTCATCAGTCAAAGAAAGACTATAGAAAATAGCCTTCCTAAATGAACTGTATTAAAAAGTGACTTATTTGGTCAATTATTGCTATTGTGATTTTTTCCTGTTTAAAACTGTTCTTAATCATAAATATGGCCAAAATAGAAGTTCGTACTGTTATCGAATATTTTTGTGTTGATTTTTAAAAAATGCCTCTGTAACTTTTATCACCTCTGGAGGATTTCACCTAAATCATACTATTCTATTAATCTTATTAAGTTTTTTTTACTATCTCTATTTAATATAAACATGTGTAAATAATTTCAATTCAAATTTCACCAATGTTACACTCTATTGATACATCAAGAGGTCTTCAAAGTTACGTACGTATGCCGTACGTACGTCAGTGTTAGTGTAACAAAATGACACGTCAGTGGTTAAGGGTTAAATACAACAAGTGTGTTTTATTGCATCGAGTGAAATATTATGTGTCATATTTTGTGTTCGAATCATAACAAATGCGTCATGTTTGTACATCGAGGGTACCGCTTCATTTCATTTAATTAGTCTCTCTGAGCATAAAAATGGAATTGATGCCATCTAATAATTTATTATCAGTGATCCGACAGAAGGCTGGGAAAAAGAAAAAGATGTTTATTTTAATATGTGAATCATGCGTTCGCGACGGGCGGCAGATTCGCGGGAAACTTCATAATGTTAGTCATGATTTTGTTTGCCTACTCTCGGTTGTTGTGGGTCGTTGTTGGAATTGAATCAATGTCTGGTTCACGTCAATCACAAATCTTAGCATTTAAGTATTTTTTTTATTTTACAGTTTTCAGATTTTAATTAACCTAATTTTCATTACAAGCGAGCAATTTACAATGTAGAGTATTTGCTAACTTATAGAAACACTTGGATTCCGCTTGTTTAAACAAATTTACAATTGTGATTAATGACAATATTTTATAGAGCTAAATAAACATTTGTTCATTCATTCAAATTAGCCAATTGGAATTTTATTCCACTCAATCGCAACTTCGCAAGTCATTCAATAAACTGGCAGAATATAGAGACATTCTTACAATGCTCTCACTACAGAAACTGCGAAGTTATAGTGAAATAAATCACGGCATAGATTGGTCGGTTCATCTGTTTAAATAATTCCAAGAATCTTAACAGGAGCATATTGCCTGTTGGACATGACCTATTTACGACGTAGAGTTGTATTTCTTTAAAATTACTCACCGTGGGTTAGAAGTTGTATGAACCATCTGTTTAAACAACGAAGTCTTTAGGATCGAAATCGAAGAAAGTGTTGATTCATCGATTTTTGCATCTTGAAGCTTATCAGATATCGTTGGATATCCGATCATCTGCCAACATAATAATAACAGGATGTTTGCCAATTTTATAACGATTTAATCTTATTGATGGACCTTGGGGACAGAACAATGCTGAAATGTGGGTACCTACATAAATTAAAACTTATTCTCTAAAGGTTTATGATAACGATAGGAATATATTTTTTATGTACAAAATGGTCGATGATGTGAAGATCCATAACCTTGAATGTGCCATATTGAAAATTTTATTTTTAGGGATGAACTTTGTTTCACCCTCGCTGCATCATTGCATTGTGAAAAAGTGGCGAAACGTTCGTTCAGAAAAGTACTGATTCCCTTTAACCCATTTTTGTAATGGTTACAACCACAAACAATCGTTTCCCGGGCCAGATCAAAAAGCAACAGGGACTAGTCAAAGTGAGTCTTTACTCTTTATAGAGACTGCAGTATTTCACCCACTTCAAAGCGCACCCGTTCGAGCGAGAACTAACGCGGTGAAACACATCGGCTGGTTCACCCCAAACCCTTCGCATTGGTGCCTATAGGATCATTTACAGCACATCCGACTATACATTTTTGTTTGCGAAATGACATCTTTTACAACTTTATAAGGTGCCGCAGTGTTAAGTTTATTGTGATGTCTGACCGAGTTACCTTCTTACCTATACAAGGTACACTGATTATTGCGGATATGCAGAAACATGATGATATATTAGACATCTCGTATCAACTTTTCTGAGAATTCATAGATTATGAATAGTAATCTTCATAACAATATGTATTACTAGCATTCTGCCCGCGGCTTCGCCCGCGTGGAATTTTGTCTGTCACAGAAAAACAATATCGCGCGCGTATTTGCTCACCGTTTAGACCTACCCTGGACTACGACAAACATTTTAAAACCAATATCAGCTCAATCGGCCCAGCCGTTCTCGAGTTTTAATCAGACTAACGAACATCAATTCATTTTTATTAATATAATAATAGATAGATAGATAGATTATAGTTACGCGTTGTTCCATACAAAAAAGAACGGCTGCATAGTTATTGCCTAAAAATATTACAGTCTACGAGCGGAAGAGGTTTGCGCAACGTAAATCATTGATCCGTCTGTTAAAAATAGTTCAAGTGTACCTCGTTACGGGGGACCAGACAGCTCAGGTTTACCTCCTACCCTCCTTGGAGCATCTGACATTTAACTAAGCCGACTATAGCAGGCATGTTTTTATTAAGAGATGCACCTATATGGCCAGTTGTTAAGCTAACATCTAATGTTTTATTAACTTTATTGAATATGCCATAACTAAGATCATAGCGTTTTATCGCCTACAAAAGCAATTATTCCTTTTACTCTGGATAAATAAGACTTCTTGAAACAACATTAATAAAACATAACATAGAAGCATAGTTTTAGTATGATTCAAAGAATTTACAGTTACAGAAAATTATTTTAATGGAAATTCCAAGACCGGAATCATTAAAATAAAATTCAATTGGCGCGTTTATTTGCTTCGTTACTTGTAAATTAAGTGACAGAAATAAAAGTGGTAGTAAAATTTTGCCATCACTAACGAATCGCTTCCCGCCATAACTCTGTAAACTGACACAATAACTGCACATGACAACAATTTAGCCCCGTATTCAAGTTGCGCCCGCGCCGCTTGCATCTAATCGGGCATAGTTATTCCGGGCGACGCCATAGACGTTTGTCTATTTAGGAAACGGATATTACATTTAGTCGGGTCTTCATTTGGCGGCAGAGGTGGGTAAGTATAAATCCGTATGAGTTTCCGGCGCGCGCGGTGCATAGCATATTTTGTAAGCAGCCGATGCGTGTGCGCAGCGTGGCTGCAATAAAAAATTAACGGCCTGCGTATGTTTTTATTCCTTCGAGCTGTGAAGGGAATATATGGAAGTGTGTTTTTGGGACAACGTTAAGCTTTTACCATGAAAGCGAGAGCTTTTATTTATTTAAGGAATGGATCTTACCTACCTACCCTGCTACTCTACATAACGCAAATTCCTTTCGTGTCTAATTTTAAACACATTGCACTTGTTACTCATTGCCCACTATTACTTTAATTGACTTCGAGTGCTTCTCCAATAAGTAAAAGCATAAAGGGATGCCAGTTGAAGTGGATAGCTGTTTCTTTTTATTATTGTAGGTACAAGTAGGACAAGAATATTATACAGAAATTATATTTTTTAACAAATTTTAATTTTAAATATTTGTAGAGTTGCGTTTGCGCAAATCCTGTGCACTTCGGCCCAGCCAATGACCCTATCCGATATCAAGTGAACGACATCGTTCATGCCTTGATTCTCCCTTCACAACACATCCTTTCAGAATCGGATTATATCAATTCGGCTATGTTCTCTGATTGACGTGACTTGGAATTTAATACTTGGAAGTTTACAACATAATTTTATAATGTGGTTTTATAAGAATGTTTGTTCTAATGTTAGAAAGTTTGATATGTAGTCTGTAATAATCATTGTTTACTTCTGTTATCTAAATGTGTGTTGACATTTCCCATGTTTTGTTATGTCGTTATTGAAACACAAATGTACTTACTTAATTATAAATTACTTCGTCGAATATTGACTTACTATACTCGTATTAAAATTGTATTAAGACTTAAAAATACCGTGAGCTTTTTATTAATGAAACATTTTTAATTGAAGGTAAAAGGTTATTAATTTACGATACGTTTGTCAATGTTTCTTAACCTAGATCTTTGTTTCAGAAATGGAAGATATATCAATACTGTGGAGTTCTGCCTCCCCAGAGAGCGCGCTATGGTCAGAGTACTTAGTGGCGAGCTTTGACAAAATTATGTCGCAGCGAGCGAGACATCATTATAGGTAATGGGGCCATTATATTCTTTAAAAACTCATAATTATCTTGTTATGATTGCTTTTTCAATTAACACCTCTTCAGTGTCAATACATAAAACAAAACACAACTAAAAAAAAGACAAAACTACACACAGCGAACAGTTGTTTTGTGATCTTAGATGAATTATTTTGCCAATAAATTATAACAGCATTTGGAGTCTGAAAAGCTTACAATAGCCATTCAGTGAAACGAGATTGAAGTTGGCAATCGTCCAGTAATAAACACTGAATGAAATCATTGCTAATGCTTTCACAGGCTATACTTTCATCTTCTATGACATTATATTCTCCGAAATAGTTTTCTATGGTAATAAAATTTTATGGCAAATTACAATCAGTAGGGTTTATATTTAAACCAAAAAATATCTCTTTAAACCCATTTGCTTTAATATGGAATTATTTTAGGGTAACACCAATCACAGCAGAGGAACTGATGACCTGCGATTCACAAGAGAAGCTGGAAAAGCTAGCAAAGGCACAACTACAGATTGTAATCCTGTGCCCCAACTTGGCGCTGAAACTAACGGACTTGAAGAAGGAAACCAGCTCGGATGGGCCGTTCAAGGCAGACAAAGTGCTGGTGATGCTGTTGGGAGTCGAGAAGAATCATATCGTCGCTAACCACTGCGAAGGTAAGTTGGGAGCAATAAAATTAACCCTTATTCAGACTCAATAAAAAAGTTATTGGTTTTCATCCGTATCTTCACAGCATAAAGTTCAAATTGATGTGAGCTCTATTTAAGGATTGTTGGGACCTTTGGATCTAGCTCTTATCACAAATAAAACCGATAACGTGGATAGCGCTTGGAAGGTCTCAAAATGCGGAGCGATTGTTTTTTTTTTCTATCAGTTATCATAAAAAGTCTACTGAGTTCAAACATTTAACAATAAAATGCAGTTATGCACTTACAGTTTTACCTAAAACTTTCATATTTTATTTATTTTCTAATTGTTTGTGCCCAGATTACCCCACCATCGACCAGTGGCAGATGATGAGCGTCCGAGAGAAGGATACGTCATTCGTGGACACTTTCTTGACCGCTGCAGTGGGCATTCTCCGGACAAAGGACTGCAAGGACACCGCCACGGATAGAACGAGCTTCTCTATAGTGCCCAAGAAAGTTAAAATTGTAAGGAATTCAGCTATTTAGTTAACTAACCCACTTAACAGTTACCGAAAAAGACCTTTTTCAGCTTAGAGTAGAGACAAAAATACACCTTAATTACTAGGGATTAAACAATGTTAGAAGTTCAAAAAAGTGTAAAGATTCCACTGGTCAAAAACCCCATAGTACCTATAGTTGAACTTAGGCTTACTTTACTGAGCATTGACTTTCAGGTGTCATGAAAAGGATGTAAAAGATAAGAGGTATTGGCAGTTAACGCCCGTGAACCATCACTTGTTTTATTACAGCAATATAAAACAATCCATCAAAGTAAATACGACCGCCAAGGCCTTTTTATCGAATGTCATCTGTCTTGCCTTAAATGAAGAGACTTTATCATCAACGTCGAAAGTTAATTACTCAAGTTGTTGCTAAAATTATCTCCGAAAATGTCAAAATTACACCGACACAAAGAATTACATACAAATTACTTGATAACAAACTGTCTTATTTTTATTCAGGGCCAGAGTCGGGTGATAGCGCTCCTAAATGACCCCATTAGAGAGGAAGACAGCATTAAGATAATGGTGGACAAAAAAGGCGAGGTCATTCAAATACCGACATTCAAGAAGAGGAATCCATATACTTTGCAATTTGATATTCCCGGTAAGTTCCTAATCCGCTAACAAAAAGTCCGAAGATCAAGAAGCCCTTTGTATTTTTCCATTCCGAAGTTGACTTGGAAATAAAAATACCTACTGTTCTACTTTTAGAGCGTGAGAGTATTGATTACAACATCAACAAACTAGTGTTTGTTGGAAAACAGTCTCAGATGCATCGTAAAACTACAAAATATGTACAAAGTACAAACATAAACCGCTGATATATGATGAGCACCAAATATGCTTGACGTCATCAGGTCAAAGGAATACTGTTCGTGAGTCGGCAACTAAGACAGACGAAAGTCACGGAACGTGCTACGATAACGCTAACTAACTACAAGATAATATTAGGGATATCGTAAAATTTTAGCTTACATTCTTTTGAAACAATATTAGATAATTTGTTGAAGCTACCTCATTTGAAACAGTTATTACGGAACGCTTTGTTCATTATAGACAATTGGATTTGCTGCAGAACTTTTCAAGTACCTCTTTCGCATTTACAGCAAAACCCTAGGATTAACACAGCTAGCTGTGTCCTACTTTCAGTGACCTTTCAGTGCATAGTAATAATTGTATCTAGACCGGAGTTTATAATCGATGACGTTACGAGCATGCGTACTGAATGCAGGTTCCTATCGCTGCAACTAATTGGATGTTAATTAAACTGGAGTACAATGTCGAGGCTAGAGCAGGATTTAGGTCTAAATAATGACCTAAATAAAGTAATTTGGGCATGTATTGTTCAATACGAGCGATTCGTATAGGGATTTGTATTTATAAGTATTAACGTAGATTAATCAACGCCTGATTATTGGAACCGTGCGCGTAGTATCTATGTACGAGTATATCTATTAAAAAGGAAATTTTATGTCGAATGGTATTGGTATTGTTATTTCCTGTCAAGACTTTCCAAGTGTGGACCGCAATGTCCAAGTGAATTAAATTATTTTAGTAATAAAGAGTACAATATTTAACAAGAGCTATAGGTACATAGACGCCTTCTCCGAATCTTCATAATGCTTTGAAACGCGTGTTACTTCAATATGCTTTGTTGATGTTATACATAGGTGCGAATTTTGCAATTAGAATGGTATTTTATTGTTTCCCATAGACTCCTGCTTGGAAGTGTCGATGCTGGTGTGGGTGCGTGTAAGCAAGAATGGTCAGTCGCTTGGCAGGAGGCAGATCAAGTGCGAGAGCCGGCTCCGCGAGCTGGACCAACTGCTTCGAGCGTCTGATCACCCTTTGGAGTTTATGTGTCAGGTATAAACAAAGGAATATGACGATTCGTGGTAAAAATGTCACATTATAGGGCTGTTGTTATCAACAATGCGAATATGCAAATAACCTATAATAAAATACTAAAATAAGATCATATTATGGAAAGTCCGTACCTTTATCTTGGTTCTCGGGACTTCCCGATCTTAAAACGTTATCTTCATTTCACTGTCATTTAATTTTAATGTAGGTCCTTTAACGATGAGTGAATGACATTACAAAGATAATGACTACCTACATGGTAGATAAGTTTTTAATGGTTATGCATTTCACAGACCCTCGGCTTCAAGACCACCAGTAAGGAACAGCTCGACAGTTGGATGTTGAACGCTTTCCAGAAGAACATACCACCGCACTTCAACCTACTGTCCTCCAACGAGCAGTTCAACCCGAAAGCTGATGTTTCAAGTAAGAATCAACTCTATCGCCCGAATTGAAGTTATTCCAAATCTAGTAATATTTTAATTTAGAAATTAAGCCGTATTAATTGAAACCTCTATCACCTCGCCGCAAAATTGGTACCGCCTCTAACTCTTTGGTTATAGTGATTTTATCCACGCTACATAAATGTTTTAGAAAGAAGAATGAAAGAGAAGATGAAGCTGTTTATTCGACAAAGAATTTCAAGTTTCCAATGACTAGCAATGGCAAAAAATTTTTTTTTTCAATGATAGAGAGCCTTTTTAGAGATTATTTGGCCAAAGCAGATAGTTGCGTAACTTGTGAACACTCTTAATAAAATTCATCTATATCAGGTGGAGAAGAATACCCTACATTGCTACACTGGGCCGCCCGCTTCGGGCTGGAACGCGTCTGCTGGCAGTTACTGGAGTGCCCGGGAGGGGGCGGCGCCGTCGCTCTGAGGAACGTGCGCCACCGCACCCCCGCCGACCTGGCCAGAGACCACAAGCACTACCGCCTTGCTGATGTTCTGTCCGACCATCTTGTAAGTATCCTCTAACTAAAGCAACGAAGTATCCAAACACAGCTCGTCAAAATGTTATTGTTTTTCGTCGAGTAAAATATCTAAGGCTAACTTCTTATTTGTTTGCAGAAAATAAACGAATTCTCCAACATGTATTATTACTTGAAAAATATGTCCGACAACGACAAAGAAAATCAGGACGAAGGGAAACAGAACGAGGAATTGCGCATAGTCGAGTCTTCTGACACTGTGGATTCCCCATGTCAAGAAGCAGCGCAAAATGGCACGGAACCAAACAGTGACCCTTTCAGTGAGGCCTGCACGCAAAACTTAGAACAAACATCGGAACCGGCGAAAGAAGAGAAAAAACGACCGAGCCTCAAGTTACCCAAAGTAAAGGAACAGTTTTACCAAAACGAGATGCCTTTCCACGACAACACCATGGACAGAATACAGCAAGCTATTGAACACGACTATCTAGTCCAACCTTCCAATATCAAAGTAGAGAGTCCCAAATTCAGACCGAATAATCTATACGCCAATAGCTCTCGATTGATGCCTCAGCAGTCCGATATTTTCCTGTATTCACCCACCGAAGAATCCAAGACTTTTAATATTGATACTCCCACTAGTGATATAAGCCAAATCAATTTGAATGCCAAAGACATCCGCAACAGTGGCAGCGTCAAATCGGGGAAAGAGAGCTGCCCTCTGACTGGGCAGGAGGAGCTAGCAGAAATAATCAACGATTTCAAAAATAACGTGTTCAGTATATCTGAAGTAGAAAAGTTGGTGATGGAGTGGCGGAACCGAAATGAGACTCAACAGTCACTAAAGGAGAAACAGGAGCAGCTTAACAAAATGAGAGAAGAATACGACAAAATACAACAGAAGATCAAAGATAACTTGAAGAGGCCTACTCCATTTGAGAGGGTTAAGAAAATGTTCTCGAAGAGCAAAAATAAAAGTAAGTTTCTAGTCAACACTTTCCAGAGTTCACATGCCTTTTGGTAGGTCAACATTTGTAATAAATAATACTTTACTTTTTCAGACCATGATAGCAACGGAGGAATAGAAAAACGCAATGGAAACACGAGGCCAAATAGCAGCATGAGTGACAGTACGTTTTAATTTTTAATGCTATTTACACAAAGTACATTATTTAAACGATTATCGAAGAGGAAATTAAATGTAATATTGTTTTTAGGTTCGTCATCCTCCGGACGGCTGAGTACAGTCAGCGGCGGCAGCGTGGCCGAGACGAACAGCGTTCAGTCCGAGATGGAAGATAAAGCGAGGTCTATTGTAAGTTATCATTTAATAATAATAAATAAATATATTTAAAGCAGTAGAGGAGAAGATTTGCCACATAATATTTTGAACAGATTTTCTACTTCGTTAACTCAGTCAGTACCTGATGGGAGCGGCACGGGAGGGTGATTTTGTGACGGTCAAACGTCAGCGAGACTTCAAATTTGTATGCCCTGTCACGTCAAAATGTCAATGTCTACCCCTCCCGTGCCGTGGCTACCTCAGGAACTGAGTTAGTTAGACCTATTGGGGTCATGACGGCTGTTCGCGTCCAATTCCACACTACTTTGAAATAAAAAATAATTTACTCACAACTTCCTATTCCAGATATCATCTAGCACATTGACCATGCACTCCGCGTGTGAGGGAGACAGCAGAATGGACGACTATCTCATCCCGCCGCCGCCACGCCCTCTCAACGGCTGCCCACAGTTCACCACCTTTGGACACCCTAGCAAGCATGACACGAGGTCGGTATCCTGGGAAGCTATAGAACAGATAACATAGTGATGATTATCTCAATTGGTTTTGGACTTATTCATTAGAGTTAAAAAGTTATGGTTCAAAATCAAATGAGGAAATTATTATTACGAAAAAAAAGCAAAATACGTTCTAAGTTGCAAAGCTCGATTGACTTATTAGTTTTGAAGCCAGGCATTGTTTGTTAGTGCTAGATGATATTAGGGGCAAAACTGCTAAAGCTTGTAGAGCAGTAGAGCGGCGTATCCTTCAATCACGCGCAAGCAAAACTGGATTAGATACATATTTTGATATAAATAAATGGCAAACAAGCGGTACAATAAGAATACATACGTTAAAAACTATACTTAACATAAACAAAATTTATACCTACTAGGATACTAGGTACCTTATTTTTAGATTTTATACTTCTAAAGCCCGGTCTGTGAGCACGTAGAATTTTGTCCCATCCTTATCGCTCGCGCGTAATTATATTGCTGTCGCGACTGTGCGACGGGCGCCCGCAGTGAGTGTGCGAGCGCAACAGCAACATAATTACGCGCGAGCGATAAGGATGGGTAGCTTGGGGTCATTGGACAAAATTCTACGTGCTCGCAGACCAGACTATAGTAATATTTTTCTCTAATAAAATTAACCGTATTTCTTTTCCATTCAGGGGCCAACACATGGCGACGATAGTGGAACGCGAAGCGTCCGCGTCCCGCGAGCGACTGGACGGCGAGGGTGACGCGCGCGCGACTCACCTGCGCATGACATTCTCGCGCGACCGCCCCGCGACTAGTCGCTGCGACGACCGCGCCGCGACTAGTCGCGAGCCGCAGCACATGTACATGAATATATCAGCCACACACACGTAGCTCCCGTGTGCGAGCCGTGACGATTGCCCCATAACTAGTCGCAAGCCGCAGCATGTGCATGAAGAAATCGACTACACTTACGTAGCTGCAACTAGTTGCTGCACCATTGAGATAGTTAAATTATCATCACTATTATAATACATCAGACTAAATACGACCACATTACTAGTCCAGACTAGTCAAAACACCACGAACAACGGTGTTGCTAACTAGTTGCTAGGCTCCCTAGTGTGAACTTCACTTGTTCTTGTTTCAAGTAAAGGCGGTCATCAAACATCACAAAATTCGCATGATTGGAATACACAGAGTAAGGCAAAACAAAAGCTTGACATTAAATTGTCAGTACACCACATGAAGACTTAATGTCTTTGAAGCATTCGAATATGAATTCGCATGCGAATTTACATTAATAGGAATTTTGAGCATAAAAGTAAAATTATCTATTGATTGCTAGTATAATTTTTTATGCGAATATACATTTTTAATGCTTCAAAAACACAAGCAAGCGAACAAAATTAAAAAGCAAGTAAATGATAATGCTAATGATATTATCATAAGACATTGAGTTATGCCGTTTCGCCAGAATCACTGTTACGAATAAAGAGCTTTTGTTCATGGATAACAACGAAGACTGAAATCATTTGTTGTAAATATTTTGTAAATAGTAAGCAATTCATTTTAATTTTTTATTTATTATTATTAATCGTAATTGCATACCATTATACGTATTTAATTTACAATAGTACAAAATATACCCTTAGTTTAAATTTATACATTTAAGTTTAGCCACAGAGCTAAGGTTAAGAAAATGTCAAGACCATGTTCTTTTCAAATATTTTTTATTAACGTGTCCCAAAAATGCATTTATATGTACGTACATAATACGAAATAAATGATAAATACAAAAATCTTACGAGTTCAATCATTTGGCATCTACCTTTCGTTCTATTGTTGTTTTACTTTTAAATGATCCACCAAGTGGAATAAAGTGCTACTTATTAATTTCTCTTAAGTACTTACTTGAATGTACATTGTATAATTAAAGGCAACATTTGCCTCACTAAAACTAAATAAAATTCATGGCGATTACATTCCAAATAACAATGAAATTTAGTCATAAATAAAAAAAAATAAGTTAAATAGTAACTAATACAATACTCTCGTTGCAATTTCATTGGTATAACAATTGGTACCTAAGTAAAAAATAAAAGAATAAACAGTATAAAATCACAAAAAAATTTGCTCTTTCAATATACAAAAAATATCACAATACATATTGTTTTAAGTAGCCATACGATAATTGTATTATAAGCCTATCGTGGCGTCACTAATTGCCGTTGACCATTCGATAGTCGACAAATCAGCGGTATAAAATTCATGCAAGTCAAAAAAATAATACTTATTTCGAATCTTACATAATTTTATCACTTTGAAACGATTAATTTCGACGGTTTCATAAGTCGACTTAAAATCTATGTCTTAGAGGATAGGCACTGTGACAGTTGAGTTTTGAGTTTCTGAATTACAAGCAAAATAACAAGAGAGACACAGTATAAGGTAAGGATTAAAAGTAATATTATTAATAAAGCAAATACATTAGAACCTACGAAAAATATTAAGACAAACATAATACTAATAGTACTAGACACAGAAAAAGACACATGGAATGATATTTCGTTGTTAAAATTGCACTTAGCGATAAAATTGATTAGTCATTAAAGCAATATTGAACACAACGGTGTGTGCACACTCGACACATTGGGCGTAACAGTTGCCGTGCAAAAGTAGACCTTATTGTGCAAGTTAAAGTACAGAACAGGCCGCAGAGTACGACATTTTCTTATTAATTTTGATCTTCATGTCGTTAAGGTTCAAAATCGATTGAGGAAATTTGAACACATGACAAATTGCTTGTTTTCTATAGTTCCAAAATACTGGACTGTCCTGTCGATGACATTGACAGTGGGGCGCCACCGTCAATACCGGATCGCTGGTTCAGATTTTTGCCATGTTGGAAACCATATAGTTGAACGATGGTAGCGCCCCCCTGTCATTGAGTTTGGCGGGACAGTTCAGCGTGGGTCATCTATATCAGTCCAATATTACAATGGAAGCTCAAAGTGACAGCTGTCACCGTACCCGTCCTTTACGACGTAAATAGACTATAGAGCATAGAATTAACTATAATTTAGTTTTGTCTTTGGTATGGTGTAGTTGACCGTTGGCGAGGGGCGCGGGCGGCGGCGGCCTCGCCAACAACGCCTGGTACAGACCCCAGATGGCCAATGGACGCATGTACGCGATGGACCGATGGTTGCCATTCTCGTATAGAGCTTCAGGCGTCTCGAATGAGAGACCCATTTGTGTCAAAGATTTGTGCATACCGCCGGCTGTCACGAACGCTTCTTCGTGCATTCCTGTAAAAAATATTCACTTTGTTGAGTTTGAATGAGTCACACATTTTTAAAAATAATGTAGGTATATCCTCCTTCATTTCATTTCATTTAGAAAAAGATTCCAAGCTGTACCTACAATCCTACATATCAGTTGACTAGTCTTGAAACCAAATATTGCATTGGTCAACATTAGTATAACATGATAATAACATACAAGTAATGATGTCGATACCATCGTATCATTGTTAAAGTAAATGAGTAAATGTTGTTGTTTAAGTAAATGAGCAATATGCGATATGATAAGATACACTACCATCATCAACTAAATTAAATATCCGCATTAATAGTCTTACGGCCGAATACTGAAACGCCATTTAAATATTTGACGGCTTCTCAAATAGTTAAGCAGCTCCTAAACTTACATTTCGCATACTCAAAACAATATCTGAGCAGTTCTCAATTTTTAAGCACCTCTCAAATTAAGTTGCACTCAAACGCCACTTAAATGGATTTTCGCATACTGAAACGCCATTCAACGCTAAGCACTACTCAAACAACTGTCAAATCGTCTTAAGCAGCTGTTAAATTTGAGAGTGCTTGCGCGGTATCTTAAATCCTATTGTTATACCTAAAACGACCTAAATAGTGGTAAATAATGTGTGTCATCGTTATCATTTCTTTCGAGCCTCGAGGAAATACCTAGATCTAATCGCAGGAACGCAATAAGGCTGAACGCTATTGAAAAATATTATTATAATGACATGCAATTCCGAGCGAGGTTCCGCGTCTCTAAAGAAACGGTGTTGTTTCTGGATTCATAATTTGGAAGCTCTTTGAAACCCCTCACCAAATGCCATACAACCAGTGGACCAAATACTTATTATAACCCTACTGTTCTACGCAACGGGAAGTTATGAACGTGTACTAGGTGATATCTTCCACATCTAACAGCCAACTGTGCATCGTATAGTGCACGAAGTAACAACCAAAATAGCTGCTATGAAATCGCTTTACATAAACATGCCTATTTCTGAGGATTAAGGGGACATCGCATAGCAGCATTTCCAAGAGTTGTTGATTTGTCAATTTGATGCTCTGTCAGTCAACAATGATAAATGTCAATTGTGGTTACGTTTCGGTTCTCGATCGCCACTTAATAGATTTCAACAATAAAAAGTATCACATTTAAAATTACTTTTTTAATTAAATAAAAATGCAAGCATTAATTTTTTTATATGATAAAACGAGATTTATATATAATAGAAACTAAAAATAAACTGTTCTATGTTAAGTTGATTGAGTATATTTCCATAAAAGACAATACATAACCAAACGATGCTGCGTGTAATGGATAAAAGACGTAAAGTTATCATTTGTGTAAATGAAAACATACTTTTTTTGGTAAATGTTGCCATTATGTAAACATTTGAGAGCTGCTTAGCTGATCACGGCTTCAAATCCGTTGAGTAGCGTTTGAGAATACCATTTAAAATTGAAGGATACTTAAATTTAGGAGCCCGTCAGCTGAGTGATAGATTTGAGTAGTGTTTCAGTATTCAGCCGTTAGTTTCTTGCGACAACTTGACAAGTAGTGTCAGGACTTTCATTTTGGTCCCTACAAAAAAAAAATCTAGGTATTATTAGGCAAAGATGTGATATCGTAAGTAGAACGGAACAAGAAGGTGTGAGCGAAAGGGAATCAATGAGTGAAAATATAATAGAGGATTCTTGAAAACCAGAAAGACGATTCTGTTTTGACGCGAAAATAGAATCCTTTTATGCCTTTATAAAGTAGAATAACTGACCTTCAAATATCATAAGCGCGGCCAGTCCATACGTGACTCCGACCCACATCTCTTCACTCTGCAGAGCTGTCGTATCAATATGCCCGTTGGGGCCCGTGACGTAGCCGTTGACGGCGCCCATTTTGCCGTCTTTGAACTTCATGACGTTGTGCTCGAATATCGTGGAGAGAGCTCTCTTGACGTTCGCTTCGGGGAACACTGGATCGTTTAGTCCTGAGGCACGGAGGAACCTGTAAAACGTTATTTTTTTTATTATGTACCTTGTTAAAGAACTCGTTTATGAAATCAAAATATTCTTGAAAATTGCTCAAATAGGTGAAGATCAAACCAGCGATTGGACTTGATGATTGGAATCATGGTGTTAAAATAAATTATATTGACAGCCTGTTTACGTACAAGGAAGTATTAGGAATATCACTAGACTATCAAGTGCGCTTAAACTTAAAACTCGGGCCTTTGATTTTCCATTATCCGATATCGAGTTTGAATGAAAAATACGGGCCTAAAAGTGCATAAATAATGTTATTGCCAACCACAAAAAATCCTTGCCAAAAGCTTTATTCATAATTTTCGTCTGAACATTAACCCATTTACGGCTGCAATAACAAAGTAGAAGGGCTGGTAAATCGCTTAACTCACCACTGGCCAGCTAACTGGTCCGACATGACAACTTTGCTGTTCGCCGCGCACGTGTCGAACAGATAGTACGAGCCGTTCCACAGCTTGTCCTCGAACGAGTTGCGGCCTTGGTCCAGGAGTTTCGCAAACTCCCGCTCGTCTTCTTCGTGGCCTAACATGTGGGCCATCGCTTTGACTGATGACACAGCAGCCAGCCAAAGACCGCCGCAGTATGCGCTGAAATAATATTTATAGTTATAGAGCATAGATTAGGAGATTTTAGTGACCTGTTTTGACATAAAACGGCCGTCGGTGTAGTGGTTCGAAACGGACTACTATTCCGGAGGTTGCGGGTTCGATTCCCGCACAGTACAAACATTTGTGTGCAACAACATATTTGTTTGTATTGGACTGGGTGTTTTCTATGTATAATATGTATGTATTTACAAAAAAAACAGTATTTAAGTATGTTTATATCCGTTGTCTAGTACCCATAGTACAAGCTTCTTGGTGTTGAGCTACACCTAAGGTGTACCTTAATTGTAATTGCCTCGCTCTATATTACATGGTTTCATATATCAATATGTGGATTACGTAGTGGGATGTGTTACCACATAAATAATACATAAGTCTAGTAGATAAGTTAATTTCTGTAACACATTTGTTTGTAATTCCTAAAATAAATAAATAAATAAATAAAGCTTTGCTTAGTTTGGGACTAGAAGCGCAGTGTAAAATGTCATTAAAAAAAAACTTGAGCGTGTGGGTATTTTTAGGAATATAACTTTTTTAAATATTAAATTATTGACTTGTTTAAGTGTAAAGACTCACCTAGGCCCTTTCATGACCCACGCGTCATACGTCTGATCGGGGAACCCCCCATTTTCGATCAGTCCGTCGCCATCTTGGTCCCACAGCATAGCGCGGCGGAGCAGTCCCACACAGGCTGGATACATGTCCGCTATGTACTTGTTTGCGTCCCAGACCGCCGCTGTCTCTCGGTGATGCGTCCTGTCACCGCCGTCGTCTTCGTCACTCCCGTGGTCCGTGGTCCTGTACAACAGGTCTAGTATATCGGCCACGTACGGACGCGGCGCGGGCGCGGGCTCGGCCTCCGCTGGTGGCTCGGGGGAGCCCGGCGGCGTTGTCTCTTGGCCGGTGGAGCGCGAGTATAAGTCGTCTTCGGTGCCGTCGCGCACGTCGTCTATGAACGCCATGGAGCGGTACCTGTAGTGCAGCGTCGGTCGACGTTATTAAAACTAAGTCCATTAGGACTTAGTTTATTCGAAAATTATTTCGATCTGAAAACCCTTTTTTTTAAACCAAAGTTTGAAATGTTTACGACGTACTTATTGCGGTATTGCGTTGCGTACTTATCGCGGGAGGTGCCTGGAAGCGAGCGGCGCAGGACCGGTCTTTGTGGAAATCCTTGGGGGAGGCCTTTGTCCAGCAGTGGACGTCTTTCGGCTGAAACGAACGATCGAACTTATTTGCGATAACAGCTTATGTCCTCCTTCTAGGTCCCGCCTATCTCTATGCCAAAATTCACCAAGTACAGTGATATTGACGTGAAACCGTAAAGTTCTAGGCGTTACTTTTAGTAGCTGCACATCCTCTGGGTTACAGCTATATGAAAAACAGGCGCAAATTACCTAAATTACTCTGTAAATAATGGAGGATGCCCTTACATTCTGAAACTCAAATACAATTTAACCTAATCAAGTTATTTCATTTCTGTTGCACATACTATTATAACCACAAGAGTCCAGTGTTTAACCTAACATGCCATCGTCTGCCTTGCTTTTAAAAAGAAAAATAATATCACCGTCATAAATTATCACTGTTACGGGATTAAGCAACAAAACACTTGTAAAGGTAGTCTGCCCGCGACCATGACTTTGCAACCGAGTTGAATCGTCGGGAGGGTAAATATCTGTTTACTGTTATAAAAAGGTTTTGTTGCAAAATTCTGTAACAGCAGGCCTGNAATTATTTCGATCTGAAAACCCTTTTTTTTAAACCAAAGTTTGAAATGTTTACGACGTACTTATTGCGGTATTGCGTTGCGTACTTATCGCGGGAGGTGCCTGGAAGCGAGCGGCGCAGGACCGGTCTTTGTGGAAATCCTTGGGGGAGGCCTTTGTCCAGCAGTGGACGTCTTTCGGCTGAAACGAACGATCGAACTTATTTGCGATAACAGCTTATGTCCTCCTTCTAGGTCCCGCCTATCTCTATGCCAAAATTCACCAAGTACAGTGATATTGACGTGAAACCGTAAAGTTCTAGGCGTTACTTTTAGTAGCTGCACATCCTCTGGGTTACAGCTATATGAAAAACAGGCGCAAATTACCTAAATTACTCTGTAAATAATGGAGGATGCCCTTACATTCTGAAACTCAAATACAATTTAACCTAATCAAGTTATTTCATTTCTGTTGCACATACTATTATAACCACAAGAGTCCAGTGTTTAACCTAACATGCCATCGTCTGCCTTGCTTTTAAAAAGAAAAATAATATCACCGTCATAAATTATCACTGTTACGGGATTAAGCAACAAAACACTTGTAAAGGTAGTCTGCCCGCGACCATGACTTTGCAACCGAGTTGAATCGTCGGGAGGGTAAATATCTGTTTACTGTTATAAAAAGGTTTTGTTGCAAAATTCTGTAACAGCAGGCCTGTTCATCTCCGCGAGTTTACATCGAAAACAAAACACGCACGATGGCCCACCTACAGGATACTATTCGACAAGGCCTCACATACGAGCGAACATTGACTCACGCACGCGTATTCTTGTGTATGATGGAAGAAAATAAAGAAAATGGTGTACTAAATACTGTGCAATATTTAACTGCCTAAATAATAATAAAAACACAGAATGTACTTTTTTAAGTTGCCTAAAGACACTGAGATGTAAATAAGTAGTTAATATTATTCTTGATAATTCATGCTAAATCATGTATTTCCTCCGCCATTTTCCGCAGTTTGGCACCTCACGTCACATCATTTTACCGAAGTCAGCCCTATAGCTTCGGCGCAGTGCCGATCACTGACGTTTGTCAATAAAATGGTGCTTGACTCTTGAGACAGGCTAAATTACACCATATTGTTAATGACATTGAGCATACATTTTTTTAAATACCTTCGCGAAGTATAACTTCTGCTACGTACAGAAGTTTTACTTATTATTATTCTGTGCCGTAATGAAGAATAGTGTACCTTTCAGTGGTGAACGGAGCGGAATGCGCGCGCAGCAGGCGATAGTCGCGCATCACTTGCAGAACGAACTTCAGGTTGAGATCGCGCCACTCGCTCACATCGTGGATGTTGTAGGCGTTTATATTGGCGAACGGCAGGCCCTCTGAGGGAATCGTTAACGTAATGTTAATGAATAAAAAAAGGGAAATTACAGAAGTACTTAGAAAGAAAGAATACATTTTAAAACGTATAGAACATTTTAAAATTGGTAGAAAAAAGTACAGTATGATATGGAACTGAAATGTTCACCTTTATGATTCAATCTTTTTGGCTGATTGATAGATTATATTGGCGAACGGCAGGCCCTCTGAAGGAATCGTTAACGTAATGTTAGTGAATGAAAAAAAAGGGAAATTACAGAAGTACTTAGAAAGAAAGAATACATTTTAAAACGTATAAAACATTTTAAAATTGGTAGAANTTGATAGAGGTACTAGCACTATTCAAATGAAGCAAAACAGGCCTAACTTAATTTCATAATCACCTAAATTGTGAAATTAAGTTAGGCCTGTTTTGCTTCAGTCAATTTTAATTGAGAAAATATGCTCTAATGCAACATATTTGCTATTAATGTTACTAACACATTAAATTACTTTTAATGGTTTTGCTCGTCCATAAATGGCACCATAGTTCAATAACTTGTCTATAAAACATGGTGACTAATACCTGGATCTCCAAGATCATGCGGAATTGAATCTTTGATTTTATATTTGACAGACTTTCCGTCATACAAGGTCTGTCTAGATTTTTCAGTTTCTAAGCCTATTGTATCTCGAAACATGTATTGCAGCACAACCTGTAAAGTGAATTAATTGAAATAAGCAAGCCGTATAATTAGTTTATGATTGTTTACGTTAGATAAGCTTAATACTAACCTGCAAGTTCGGCCATAGCTGAGCTAATGCGAACGAAGCGTAGAAATGTACGTCATATGTATTGTACATTCTATACTCGTGACCTTCTAGGTAGCCAAACAGACCGAAGTTGTGTCTGAAAGAATGATAATATAGCTTTAACTATCACAGGTTTCCCATCCCTGAAAACTGGGAAGAGCTTGTACAGTCAGCGTCAAATAGTTCGTGACACCCAAAGTAGCCAAAAAGTTAGCAACATGTCGGTTGTGTTGTCAACTTTTTGACCACTTTAGGTGTCACGACTATTTAGCGCTGACTGTACTATGGCGACTAGGTAGATAACGTATAAACAATTCAACCAGACATGTAACACAAAGATCATCAACAATTTTAACAGTTAATATCAGTATAAAATGAAATTTTATTTACCTAGGATCAGTATCTGGATATTCATCATGGACATCATACCAGATTGTCCCTCCATCAGCAATAAAATAAAGCTCGTTCATTAAGGCACTTTTTAACCAGTCTGGTATATTGCTGAAAAAACATAATTAATGAATTGATAGCATACTCATGTGACGATATTGTGATATTAATAATATTAATGATACAGAAATATTAGAGCATTGGAGCAGTTATCATACCCACCTATTAGTCAATATAGGATCCTGCCACTCGGCAAGTAATTTCTCCCAATTTTTATAATTCCTAAGAGCATATGCAGCTATGCTTGCACCAGCTATTCCATCACTACCAAAATATTTAGTATAATATCTGAAAAGAAGTAAAAATCTCTTTTATACAGGGTGACAGGTAAAGCGATACATTCCTTGAAAGGGGTTAAAGTAGAGCTTATTTGCAGTCATTTGAGTCATATGACACCATGTCCGAAACTTGTTCATTTCCAAGTTATTCAAGATTTAAGTATTTTTTAAAAAATCTCCAGTTTTTATGTTAAAATGTACCCTTGTAATGAAGAATACGGAATAATGTTAACTTTTTTGTTGTATTCGTATAGCTAAATAATAAGATTGACATTTTAAATTAAAATTTGCAAGAAAGAATCGTCATTACTCAAGTAAAAGCTAAAAAACCATGTATTATTTTGCAAAAAAAATATGTTTTAGGTAATTAAACGAAGAATTTCCAAGAAAAAATGTATGGAATGTTGTGTACAAATTACAGAATTTAGTTCCTTGATTCATTAGCTATTCAAAAAGGTACAGGTGTTTAACAAACACTACATAATTATTTTTTTATTTGAATTTAAACGTCTAGTAAGATACTTTCATAAAAAAATAAATAAATAAAATAGTCACACTAACAACTGTTCTTGGGTCTCAATAAATTAAATACTTAGTATTTTAATAATAATTGTATCACCTAATTTTATCTAGGTACATTATTTTAAGTCCTGCTCAAACTGTGAGCCCCGTCTTCTAATACAAGCTCGTAGTCTGTTTCTCACTTCTGTTTTTGTGACTCTTGTTGTCAAACTTTGCTGAATATCTTGAGCTGCCCTCTGAATGCGCTCACGAAGCTTTCACACACACAGCACACTTTCGGCTCAGTGTACGCCAATGGATGGATCAACAATATCCACTTCGTTGGATTGGGCGCGGTGGACCCATTCCTTGGCCAGCCAGAAGTCCGGATCTGACCCCTTGCGATTTTTATTTATGGGGTCACATGAAGTATCTCTTGTATGTAACCCCCGTAAACAACGAGCAAGAGCTTCGTGAGCGCATTCAGAGGGCAGCTCAAGATATTCAGCAGTTTGACAACAAGAGTCACAAAAACAAAAGTGAGAAACAGACTACGAGCTTGTATTAGAAGACGGGGCTCACAGTTTGAGCAGGACTTAAAATAATGTACCTAGATAAAATTAGGTGATACAATTATTATTAAAATACTAAGTTTTTCATTTATTGAGACCCAAGAACAGTTGTTAGTGTGACTTTTTTATTTATTTATTTTTTTATGAAAGTATCTTACTAGACGTTTAAATTCAAATAAAAAAATAATTATGTAGTGTTTGTTAAACACCTGTACCTTTTTGAATAGCTAATGAATCAAGGAACTAAATTCTGTAATTTGTACACAACATTCCATACATTTTTTCTTGGAAATTCTTCGTTTAATTACCTAAAACATATTTTTTTTGCAAAATAATACATGGTTTTTTAGCTTTTACTTAAGTAATGACAATTCTTTCTTGCAAATTTTAATTTAAAATGTCAATCTTATTATTTAGCTATACGAATACAACAAAAAAGTTAACATTATTCCGTATTCTTCATTACAAGGGTACATTTTAACATAAAAACTGGAGATTTTTTAAAAAATACTTAAATCTTGAATAACTTGGAAATGAACAAGTTTCGGACATGGTGTCATATGACTTAAATGACTGCAAATAAGCTCTACTTTAACCCCTTTCAAGGAATGTATCGCTTTACCTGTCACCCTGTATATTCCTTTCTTTCTTTTTGGTTTTTATGCCATTTTTAACTGTGGATTCATCTCATACCTTTTATGTACTTTCTTATCTTTTTTATACTTTATAATAGGCATGTCCCACGCGAGACAAAACTCTGTAGATCCATGTCCACCAGGATCCAATGATATTACACTTGAAAGTCCTACTGAATCACCTGAAAAAAAAAAGATTAGCTCCTATTAGGCCCTTGTGCCTTGTGTATGCCAATAAAAAGAAAAAAACCTGTCTTACATTTATAAATCTTCTTTTGTTTTTCTTTCTTTTCTTTTTCACCAGTATCTGATTTATCTGGGACTTTTGGCGGGGGAGGGGTGAGGCTAGGGTCTGGTTCAAGCCGGCCATTTTTCTTCAAACACTCCCACACATAAGCAGATGTCTTTGACACATTCCAAAGACAATAATCTTCATGTATAGTCTCGTTTTCCAGTTTCCTTTTTGATATTGTAAATGTGCATGGAGTATCTTCTATCTTTTGCTCTAATGTAACACCACTTGTGTGCTCCTCTGAATATCTTTCTAAGTCTAACTTTGCTGGAATAAAAGGTATTTTTGAATAACTACAAAATGATTAGTTTATTATTTATACATAACTGAAATAAATTACAGTACTCACCAGCTGCTTTCTTTTTATTTGTGCTTCCCAGTACCTCAGTCCATGTGAATGTAATACTCACATCTCTGTGTTCATTGCTAACATTTTTAGCAGAAAAAACAAATACTGCACAAGGAAGACTGCTATCCTGTAAAAAAAAAGTTAATAATAAAATCAAGTTCAAGTGGCCAAACCAAACTTCAGTTTATGCAAATTATGAATTAAAATTAGCATCATAACCATTATCATTAGTAATCATAACTGAGTTTTTACAACTTCCCTGTGCCATGAATATGACTCACATAAAATGTTTTGTTTACTGTACAGATTTGGTTCCAACGAGACACAATTTCAACGGGACACATTTTCAATCAGACACATTCCCACGTGGACACATCAATTATTGTATCATCAGTTAAATGTTTTAATGAAAAAAATAAAATGTGTTAATTGTCATGGGTATGTATTCGTCTGCCGTTTGGTGTAGTGGTGAACCGTTCTGAAGAACGGACTACTGTGCCGAGAGGTCCCGGGTTCGATTTTCGGCCGGGCAGAAATTGAAATGATGCATTTTAATTTCATACTCCTAGGCAGGTTATAGTATTCCTAGGAGTATCCCACGGGAACGGGAATTAGCGGGTAAATCCTTTTGTATGAAAAATCTAAACCGTTTAAGTTAGACGCTTAAAATTTGGCATGCAGGTACCTTAGTAAACTTAAAGCTTAGTTACAACAGGATATTGCAAAATTAGAGTTAGCGGGAAAAAACATTTGTATGAAAAAATCTAAACCACATAAGATAGATGAAGGGGATAATAAAACGGGATCCACGCGTACGAAGTCGCGGGCGGCCGCTAGTCTTTCCATATCTATGTGCGGAAACATCACGAAATCTGAATTTTAGCTGACCTCCTAACCCCTCATAAAAGCCAAGATAAATTTTATTGATTGGCTATGTTATGTTTAGGTTATTTTATTGATTCAAGGAAAGTACGTGAAGATGCTTATTTCTGTTTAATTTTGTTTTTAATTGTAATAAAATATAGTTATTTTAATGTTCATATTTTTCATTTCACTTTCATTTATTCGACTGACTGTATTGTGTCAGTTTGCAACTGTGTCCACGTGGGAATGTGTCTGATTGAAAATGTGTCTCGTTGAAATTGTGTCCCGTTGAAACTAAATCACTGTACACATAGGTATTATTGTTAACTGATATTATAGACATTAAGAGGAATAGAGGAAGGTAAATAACCTTGTAATTATGAGGAATAACAGGCGAAATTTGGCGGCAAACTAATTCCACCCCATATTTAGAGAGATCATAAGTTGTCCAGGCCCGAGGATAGAGACCTGTGTATTCACAGTCCTCAGGATTTAAGTTCCACTCCCATGTTGATGGTGCTTTTTTGGGCTTTCTATAAATAAAAATTAGATATAATAGATAATTATACAAAATAAAAACTTATTATAATAAAAGAAACATATTTATTTGTATTTATTTACCAGATAGCCATACCACACCCTGTAATATTCATATTCTCTGCATGTTTAGTTATTAAATGTAACTATGTAATTACTTATCTTTGCCCTTTGATTAATTAAGTATTAAAGCTGATAAACACATGATAATTAATTTAATTATCCACTAACTACAGTTAATCTTATTGCAGATCATAGCAACACTTTTGAAGCACCTTTTTAATTAATTTGTCTAAAAAATCATTAAAAAAATATCAATACTCACTCATAAGTAGATAGAACAGACTGAAAAATAGTTTCTTTGTTATCATTCCGTATGTTCACTATGAATTGACATTCTGGTATAGTGACATACTCATAGATGCCCGGGTACAGTTGGAACCGACAGAACTCGCCTTTAAAGCCGCGCCCGATTGTCCCACCTCCAATACCACCAATTGGGCAACCTAACAGTACATAAGTTTATTTATTACATCTTTATGACAATAATATTGTGTAGTTTACTCAGCATGTTCTATTAAAAACATGATTATAGAGCTGCTTCTGAAGTTTGTGAAGTAAAACTTATAACTCTTACCATACATTCTTTGTGCAGAAATCATATTTATGTAATCCATGATAGGACGTTTTTTGTTTAGCCTCTTACCAATGTAGTATTTAACATATCTGAAACAAAATTTTATAAATGTTTATTCAACATCTTTATAATCAATTTAAAATTAATATGTCTGTTTTATAAAATATAACCTTTACTCACCTTGCTGTAAGTGGCATCATTTCGATGATCTGATTTGGTCTTGGTCTAATGATTTGTTTAGATTGTACTGGAAACTGATGATTTAATTTCAGTTTCAACCCATTATTTGGAGGTTTATCGAATTCATAGCCTTGTTCCCCTAGGTCCCCAACTGTTTCCATTTCCATGATGAGTTCACTTTAGGTGTCTTTTGTATCCAGTGTAATGACAAGATTGGGAATTTGGGACTTTGTTATTGTCACAACTTAACCGCAGAACAACTCAGTCAGAATTAAAAACGCAAAATGAATTTCTCGCTTCAGTCTTCGGCCAGCGCCGAAAAAAGACATCGTCTGACTGACCATAGAGAAAAGTAATACATAGGAAATAGAGAAACCTCTCTGTCATATTTTTGAGCCTACTAATTGACAGCCTGGTGTTAAATTCGCTGTACTTAACCTACGTACGTAACGCTCACATACACACATAGTACACGCACACATACATACATAAAGTCCACGCACACATACACACAGTTCACGCACACATAGGCCCTCATAACCTTCAAAGAATTATTGTTTTTTTGATGTACAATGTAGAATTTTTTCAAATCCATTATTTTGAAAGTATTTATCTTTATGGTGTACGTATTGTATTATTTTCAAAACAATGGATTTGGAAAAATTCTACATTGCACATGGAAATGCAAATAAACAAAAACTTTTCAATTTAATAATTTTACTTTATTTATGAACACACATAATATTATACACCAAAAGCGTCTTTTCGCAAAGTTTTCAACAACACTAAAAAAGCATTTGCACTTTGAGAAAACTCAGATCACTTGTAAAAACCGTATTGAAAGAGAGGAATCTTCTATTATATTGATATTAAAGTCTCCACATACAACTACTTTCTTTGAACTATTACACACTCTTCTAAGTACCTCTTCCATTGTGGTTTCAAATAATTCATAGTTACTAGATGGGGGTCTATATACACATACAATAACATAGTCGTCCAGTTCTGCACATGACAGCTCAATAGTTCGCTCAACAGAGAGAGATACAATATCTTTACGCTCTTTACATTTTAATTTATCATTGATTAATATTAGTGACCCTCCACGAATAGCTAACTCTCTAGTGAATGAACTAATAAGCTTATAATTATTAATGCTCAGCATTAGTTCATATTGCCTGAGCCAATGTTCCGTTAAACATAAGACATGAATATTCAATTCTTGGATAAATAACTCAATTTCCAAGTCTTTGCCGGAGAAGCCTTGTACATTCTGATGCACTAACTAAAACTATAAAAACTATAAAATAAAATAATATAAAATAAACTGTACCAATAAATGAGTGTTGTATAAATAAAATGAAATAAATAAAAGGGACCGGCCGGCCCAATCAATTGTGACAAATAAAAAATTATGAAGTAAATAAATACTTACAAGTACGTACTTACTTACTTACAAATAATATGATTATGACGCGTCGTAGGTAATTCATAAAAATTACGAATACACTATGAGAGTTGAAGTTGAAGAAGAGAAATTAATGATGAATGATTTGGACAAAACGTAACGTAATGTTAATTAGGTCATAATATGAATTTTATAACAATTAATTTAGGTGTTTGTGGTGGAAAAAAACTTTCTAAATAATTTCTGGAAGTGACCTTTTTAATTAAGACAGTAGATACTTGCATGTTATGCTTTATGTTATTAACCTAATAGAGGATACCCACTGAATCACTATTCTATTGTGGAATGTAAATTTACTTATTGTGCAAAGAACGAAAATCAGTATATTTAATAATTCATTGTAACTATTATGAGATTGAAAAATAAAAAACTAATTAGAAATTTGATTATTTTAAACTTAATGAATAAATTGATCCGTCCACCGTCAACAAAATGTATCTTGTTTAAATCTTTAGTTTTATAAATATAATAAGTGAGTAAGTGTATTATGCCTTCATTTATTAAGTACATTAAATAACGTTTGATGAATATTTACGTGGTAGTCTGCCCAAATGTATGTGTAGATATACTAAATTGCGGAAACATAAAAAATTGGTTTGTGTTTTATTTAACTGTATCTAACTATAAATGGTTTATGATAAAAGGATATCTCTTCAAAATATAAATATATGAGTGAACTTTACACAACAATATTGATTGTAATTCTGTGTGTAAATTAATGGCAACTATTGCTTACATAACTACGAATGTATTTATTTAGATGTGTCTATACTTAATTTTATTGGAATGAAATTGTAAAATGAAATAAGTAAATTTATTATCTGTTCAAGAACATGATCTTTATAATAGTGTTACAATAGAGTGATTGTGTAAAAATTTTTCTAGATAAATATAAAAAAAAAAAAACATGTTTTGACCTGAATTAAATATCAATGAAAATGTAATTTTGAAAATGAATATAGAATTTATTTATGATTGATTATATTAAATGGTAAATTAATATAATGTATTTCATAATTTCGGTCAAATAATAAAATTGTGTAATGTCATATTTTATTTTCTGCATTTGTATGTATTAATAGTATTTTTGTTATCATTTGGAATAATTGGAATATTCATAGATATTTGGATAGTCATTATTTTACATTGTATTTTACAAGTACCTAGTTGATTTAAAAATTTTACTCTTTACCAGCCGTTTTTTTTGAATCAGGCCATATTTCAATACGATCTACAGATTTATGTTTTTTCTAATAGACATAATAATATGTACTTATTTAGATCTAGTTTTATTTAAAAAAAAAAACTTGTAACAAAATGTAAAGTGAAATATGTATTTTCAACAGTACATTACTCTGACATGTTCTATTTAATTGTATTAAATTCAAAATAAAAATGTATACTTAAAACAAACAATTGGAATCAATAACATAACAATAATTTTCTAAATTTTTATTCTATTTGGGTTAACTAATTTAAAAAAAAATGATAACACATTTTTTTTCTCAAAATTACGGGGGTGGTGTAGTGTATGACACACCTCTCCTTTAGTACCAACTTAATGCAAGGCATATACTTATAAGTTAGCTGTAAGTCATTTTAATAGTAGTATTAAACCGATCGTCGACGAATTAACATCTTTTCATTCCATCTCCTTGGTCCCCACATTACAGACGTCTACTGCTGAAAATACATAGGCCCAATGTTGTGCTGCTCCCCCAATGATTTCCATGTTGATTGATTGGTAGCGGCCTGCGTCCAGCGCCTTCCTGCTACCTTTATGATGTTTGTCGGTCCACCTTGTTGCGGTGGTTGCCGCTGCGTTTTCCGGTACGCGGCCTCCACTCCAGAGAATTTGTAATTAAATATTTTTAAAACAAAAAAATTGACTGAGGGAGCACTGATGAGAGATTTTGGTGATAGAAAAATTTACTGACATATATTTTGATCCTTTTAACCACAAATTTATAGCCTCATATCTTACCTCCACCCTATTCTTCTTCATCAGATAGACGGGACTCTCAGGGACCCACAGGAACATCAAGATTCTTACGATGGGGATAGCCAGATTGATCCAGACGATGGCGTGGTAGCTGCAGTACCAGCCTATGAAGTAAGAGGTCAACGTGCCTGTCTGATAGAACACCACTATGACTGAAAAAAAGACCAATCATTATTTATTTTCAGAAAACAGATTAGTTTCAAGTTATTTTATTGTTAGGAAAACAAACAGCATTCTTTAAAACAGAAAATACATTTTCTTCTTAATTTAGTGGACTTTGCACTAAGATTTTGGCTTGTATCTCAGATTTTCTATGTTTGTGTAAATTAATGCCGTTTCTTTAGATTTTCTCCAAAATGGGTAAGTTTATGATCAAGTATAGAAACGGGTGTGTGGTCTCGAGTGGCGACCACGGGCTGGAAGACGTAGCGTGGGCAGGCCTCCTACTAGGTGGACCAACGATCTGGTAAAGGTCGCGGGAAAAATTTGAATGCGGGTAGCGCAGGACCGTTCATTATGGAAAACCTTGGGGGAGGCATTTGTCCAGCTGTAGATGTCATTTGGCTGAAAAGACGATTGAAATGGGGCAGTTCTCTTTTGTACCAAATTCAACAGTTAACGTCACGCTAAGTCATACTTCTTTCACTTACATGAAGCCAAGATCCCCCTGATGTGATCCTCCGCGACCTCAGAAATGTAAACTGGGGTGATTACGCAGGTCAATCCTCCTGCGACCCCTCCGAGGAACCGGGCGATCAGGACCACAGTTATGGACCTTGTGAAGCCTATCATGGTCCAAGATATCTGAAAAAATCATTCATACATTTAGTATTGGATAGCAGACTGTGAACTGACCTAGCTAACTGTGGTCATTAGATTGTAACTCTTTAAACCTGTCTGATACTGTCTGACCAAACCGTTTCGACCAGAAGGGCGCGCAATCCTCATCACGCGTTGGTTCCCGCTGAAAACCAGCTTCTCGGCATGACGTTTGTGTCATGTCGCGATTTTTGCTGAGCTGTTGAAATAAATGCTGAACAGGCGCCCGCCTGTTCAGCATTTATTTTAATTTTAAGCTAATTATGTCTACACCATATTGTGCTGAATAAATACTTTCTTATTCTTATTGTAGTATTTAGTATACCTACAAGTCAACAGCACATCAATTTGCCAAACATTACAAAAAAGGTGGTGGTCAAAGGCTCCTCTAAAATAGCCCCGTTGGAAGTCACCAATAATGAAGAGAGTGTATTAAGGCCACACGTAGAGAAGGATTAGGGATCATCATCATCATCATCTCTGCTACAGGACGTCCGCTTCTGAACATAGGCATCCTTCAATCACTTCCAGATTGGTCGGTAGGTAAATGCCTGCACCCAGCGCCTTACTGCTACCTTATGAGGTCGACAGTCCACCTTGTAGGTGGACTTCCTACGCAGCGCTTGTCGATACATGGCCTCCACTCGAGAACAGCAAGAAGTAGCCAAAATACTGGACATTCTCCTGCTAAAAGTGTTGATCGCGACGCTTAAAAGCGCACAGCCTACTAGGGCTCCTAACATGGCCTTCTCAGTGGTAGTCAGAAGTGCGTCCAGTCTAGGATCGTCCCGTTGGAAGCCGCTAGACCAGTGAGGGTGTATGAGGGCCATACGCAGAGAAGGCTTATGGACAGACTTCAATAACTTACCATGTACAGCAAAGTAGTCAGTATATTAGCCATTTTCCTGCCAAAAGTGTTGATCGCCATGCCCACAAGCGCGCTGCCTACTAGGGCTCCTAAAGAAGGCAGGGCTCCTAACATGGCCTCCTCCGTTGTGGTCAGAGGCGCATCCAGGATTGTCCCGTTGGATGCCGCTAGCATGGGGAGGGTGTATGAAGGCCATACGTAGAGTAGACCTAGGGACAAACTCCCGGCTGCACCTAAAATAAAGATAACGGTTGGTTGAAGAAGAATATTGATCAAATCTGTGTGTATTATATGTGTATTATTAAAAAAAATTCTCGAGTGGCAACCACGGGCCGGAAGACGTTGCGTTCCGTGGGCAGGCCTCCTACTAGTTAGACCGACGATCTGGTGAAGGTCTGGATGTGGGCAGCGCAGGACCGGCCTAGGTAAGTATACCTGACACGAAATAACGATAAACCGTCACTGTTAAAGGGCGCGTAGTCCCCATCGTGAGTTGGTACCCGCTGAAAACCAGCTTCGTGACTTGACGACTTGTGTCATGTCACGATTTTTTTCTGAGCGGGTGCCTTTTTAGCTTGCCTCGATAAAAATTAAATTATGTATGCTCCTAAATGTTACATGCTGAATAAAGTAATTCTATTCTATTCTAATGCTCGTATTCACAAACGTTGCTTGCATAAGTTAAGCAGCAAATCGAAAGCATAGCGTTGAATAGAGCTCTGCGATTAGTTCATGTGTCACCCTGTGCGTCCACGCGCACTGTGAGACCTCATAGTAATGTTTGTGAATACAGGCGTAAAAACCTTCTTGAACCTTCTTGGACCTTCCATTGAGGCCAGTACCTATAGATGGTCGATAAAATTTTTAAAATAGTATTTTGGGCGTTTTTGTCTGGATGATTTTCATTAATATTAGTACGAGATTCTTTTACTTCATTATTATACGAGTTTGTATACTTCAAAGGCTCAATAATTTGGCTATGTATTTAATGACTGTAGAGATTAAAAAATAATTAACCTAGATTTAATAGGTAGTTCCGTATTTGAACCGTGAAAACAAATACTCAATACTCAATATGTTTATTGCTTCCTTTAGTATTATTAAATGCCAAGATAAGTACATAATTATTATCTTGGCATTTAATAATACTTTGTTTAAAAAAAAGTTGGGAGTATAAAGGGTTTAAAAATTGCATTGCAAAAATAAAAACTCAAGTGCGTTTGCCGTATCACACCGAAGCAACTATTAAAATTAAAAAAAATGCATTTAAAATAATTTTATTACGATATTTTCATTTTAATATTTATAAAAATAATTTCTATTATTATTTTTTCATTTTGAGTTTAAGATGATATATTATTTTTTATTCTAGTTTTGAATTTAATTATGAAATTTATTTAATGTTATGGACTGTCATTGTCTGAATGTAACGATTTTTTCTTACTTTATTTTACAAGGATTTATAAGGTCTTTAATCCATTAATTCTTGCAAAAAATGCACAATGGTCAAATGTTAGTCAATTGAATAAATTAAAAAGTAATGCACTTACTTGCGACTGCCATCAGAATTTGGTATGCCCTGCCATTTCCCATGGCTATGAGTTTACTAAAATACTTAAACTTATTTTTAAAACAGTTTTATTTTCACAATAGCTTTTTTTATTTCAAATCCGTCGTATCCCGTTCGAAATCTAGACTAAAGTGATCAAAAACATGTTTAGTTCGAGAAGATAATGAATGAAGCGTGGTAATTAGAATACCATCAAAAACATAAATGTGAAATGAGAGCCAAGTTCAATATAATAATATTAATGCCTTGGTTGTTGAGTTAAACGACAAAAGAAGTAAGATCTAAATGGGTGCCAATTTCAATGGTCAGTCCTGAAAATTTATAAGAACAAAATATTATTTCTTCTCATAACTTAGGATAAATATTGCAGCCTAAGGTCTGACTTGGCTAGGTAAACACGGTACTGCTCGCCACTTCTGTTACTTGACCTTGGCTTGACACGCTGCTGTGTGTCTAGATCATTTTCAATAACAATAAATATGTATGATGGTTGGTGTCAATACATTATGAAAGCACATCAAACTGTAGGTTTTTTTTTGCAAAATCGCCCCTATTAGAAACACACAAGATGCCTCAGTGTGCAAGTTGACGTGCCGTCGTTTGTCTGTACTCTCCGGTACGAATTTTAAGCACTAATGGAAAAATAACGTCATGCTACACGGAAACATCACGTATTTTACAGGATCCCGTTTATTCTGCAGAGTCCTGCAAAAAACCGATACTATAGAAATTGGAATTCGAATTTCACACACACACATTGTGTGTTTACATGGCAGTCCAATTTTGCGCGGTCCTGCATCCCGTAAAACTGGTATGCCATGGAAAAGAGCTATAAGACAATCGCAGTACGAGTATTTGAATACCTACGTTAACAACGCCACTCTAGCGGAGTTTTAGGCTGATACTGAGGTTTAATTAAATAAATAAATAAATAAAATCATTTATTTGCCAGAATACGGTTACAAGGTTATAGAGAAAGAAGTTTCCAACATATTCTATCGTACATACGATGTGCAAATATTACAAAAAAATACTGTTATGTTTTTAATATTAAAAAGTACCCAGTATCATTATTATTTTGTTGTCGACACGACAAGAAGATTTGGTTTACCTACCATTAATTAAGATTGCTAGGTACTTCCTCGATGGAAGATCCTGACCTGTCCAATCCACATTCTCTTTAAACACTTAGCTTTGTTTATCACTATATTTAAGCCCCTATTATTTGAATCACAGTCATCCTGGACTGGGACTGTGTAAAGTCCCACGATAACGACTGAATACTGTCTACCGTAGCGCGGCGCGTTAATTTCCAACACGTGATAACTGTTTTGCTTTTAAGAATAGCAAAAATCGTTCTACCTTCCGATATTATTTTGTTTGCAATAAGACTACCTACAGTTTACCTACCGATCTAAGTTAACATCAAAACTAAATAAGGTAAGGTATACAAAATGTGTTCTTTCCTTCTAGGCCAGTAGAATTAAACACAAAAATTGATTAAATCGGAAATAATTCCCACAAAAGATTTTTTTGCTTTAATGGCTTCATTGGTTGCCCATTAACACTCTCCTAAGTTTTCGACTTCGACGGAGTTGTGCTTAAGTGGTGGGGGCCCCCGAAAGGGGCGTTTTTTCGGTTTTCCGGTTATACCGCGTAAAGGACTTACCCTATCGAAAAGTGGTCTTCATGACGGTTAAAGGGCACTTAATCCTGCATTGAATAAGACCAAATTCATATGTTTTGGACAAACCGTTCTAGCGCTAAAGTTCGGCAAAGTAGAAAATATACGTTTAATTAATGACCCTCTCCACGTCCAATGGCTTGTTACCCACATGCTTCCAAGCCTTGTAAAGGGTCGCCTTAACCAGTGTAACCCTAACAAGGCTCACGAGTTTGATTCGCTTATCCTTGTTCGTCCCAGCCGTTCCTTAACTGCGGTTGCTGCACCTCTTCCTGGCACTCACCTGAACGACTCTGTGTTACCTACTGTGGCTGCCCCTCTTCCTTGTATCCTCCTGCATGACTACGTTGCCTAGCCGTATGCCTGGTCTAAGGTTCGACGCCAAAAATCAACAACAACAAGTTCATATTAAAACGCTGAAGAGTTTTTTGTTTGTTTGTTTGAACGCGCTAATCTTAAGAATTACTAGTTTGATTGAAATCATTATTTTTGTGTTGAATAGCTCATACATTGAGGAAGGCTATAGGATATATACAATCACTCTAC